GAAAAATGTGGCCATTAACCACCATGGAATACGTATGCAGCCCATTAAAAAAGGATGAGTTTGTGTCCCTTTGTGTAGGGACATGGATGCAGCTGGAAACCATCATTCTTAGGCAAACTATCGCAAAGAACAGAAAACCAAACACCGCATGTTCTCGCACTCATTAGGTGGGAACTGAACAATGAGATCACTTGGACTCAGGGAAGGGAACATTCACACACCGGGCCGCAGGGGGCTATCATGGGGAGAGGGAGGATCGCACTGGGGTGAGTTATACCTGATGGGTAAATTGACGAGTTGATGGGTTGCAGCACCAGGGCGCCAAAACATGGCACAAGCTATACATATGTAACAAAGCCTGCACGTTATGCCACATTACCAGCTACCCTTACAACTTAACGTTTAATGGAAAAAAAAAAATTGGCAAAAGACCTGATTAAACATTTCTCAAAAGATGATATACAAATGGTCAATAAGTATATGAAAAGGTGCTCGTAATCCCTAATCATCAGAGAAATGTAAATCAAAACCGCCATGGGATATCATCTAATACCTATTAAAATAGCTATTGTAAGAAAGACTGAAGATACAAATGTTGTTGAGGATTGGAGAAGAGGGAACTCTTGTGCAGTCTTGGTGGGAATGTAACTTGGTATTGCCATTTTGGAAAATAGTATGAAGCTTCCTCAAATGATTATGAATATAACTATCCTGTGATATAGGAATTCCACTTATGATTATATATCCAAAGGAAATGAAATCAGTATGTTGAAGAGATATCTGCACTTCCGTGTTCATACAGAATGATTCCTAATAGCTGAGATATAGAACAACTTAAACATTTATTAATGATGAAAAGATAAAGGATATGTTATATATATGATATATATAAAAGGAATAATATATCATATATATGATGTATATACAATGGAATATATATGATATATATACAACAGAATGTCATATATATGATATATATATACATACAATGGAATATTCAGTCATTAAAAAGGAAGAAAATTGTACTAGTCCATTCTCATGCTGCTAATGAAGTCATACCTGAGACTGGGTAAATTATAAAAGAAAGAGGTTTAATTGACTCAGTTCAGCATGGCTGGGGAGGCCTCAGGAAACTTACAATCGTGGTAGAAGGGGAAACAAACATCTTCTTCTTCACATGGCAGCAGGAAGGAGAAGTGCCAGCAAAAGGGGGAAAACCCATTATAAAACTATCAGATTCTGTGAAAACTCACTCACTACCATGAAAACAGCATGAGGGTAACCATTCCCGTGATTAAATTACCTTTCACTGGGTCTCTTCCATGACACTTGGGGATTATGGGAAACTACAATTCAAGATGAGATTTGGGTGGGGCACAGCCAAACCAAATCCAGAATCCTTCCATTTGTGACTACATGATTAAACCTAAAGATGTTATGCTTCCAGGACAATATGCTAAGTGAAATAAGCCAGATGCAGAAGGACAAATACTGCTGTTATTTATATGTAGAATTTAAAAATGTTAAAGTAATGGAAGCAGAGGATAGAATGGTGCTTGCCAGGGAATGGGGAAGGGAAAATAGGGAGATGTTGGTCAAGGGGGTCAGAGTTTCAGTTATGCATGATGAATAAGTCCTGGAGATCTAATGTACAACCATGTGACTATAATTAACAAGACTTTATTGTATACTTGAAATTTACTAATAGAGTAGAGCTCAAGTGTCTACGCTACACAAAGAAAAAAGAAGGAAAGTACTGTCTGAGGTTACAGATATGTTAATTAGTATGAAGTGATTATTTTGCAGGATATGTCTCTGACAACTCATCAAACTATACCCTTAAATATATACAGTCTTTGTCAAATATTGCTCAATACAAAATATTGCTAACAGAAAGTTTAAAGCAGAACAGTAAGAGAAAATGAGATGTGGTTTGCAGTTGATTAGCATTTAAAAAGTATGGAATTAAAGCCTCAAATAAAGTCTTTGCACATAATTTGGGCCAGGTTATCTATATATCTAATCATGTAACACTTGACCTTTTAGAACTAATAAAACCAGAAATGACTCCAAGGCAGAAACTAAAGGGAGCTTGGTTTGTTCTGCAGTATTTTTGGGCTTCACAAGATATATGGTACTATGATCAGAGTCAGTCTGAACCTTCAACAAAAAGGTTTTAGCTAAAATTCATGCCTTGAAGTATTGCTATATTTGCTTAATAATATATTAAGAGTTTTGATATAGCTGTAAAAATAATTGCCCTGTGCTTCCAAGTGCTCGATGATAAATGAGATGGGATTGCAGATCTGTATTCTTTGCTAAGTTAGATGCATTTTTTCGGTTTTCTGTGGAATATCTTATATCACTATTTAAGGAAACTTAAGAATGTGCCTCCTGTTATTTTTAGAGGCAGCAGGGATTTCCTTGAGGTACCTTTTATATATATTGACATTAAAGTTACAATAACTTTGAAAGTAGGTGGATGGAAAATGTTCAGAAGAGAGAATAAATGCTGAATAAGAAAAAGTCTACATATCTAATTTTATGCAATGATATTTTGATCATATTTCATTCTTGGACTAAAATGTGTAATAATATTTCATTATAGTATTATTTATATTACTGAAAAATACAAACAGCATTTCTCATAGTAATGATCGTCTAAATTAATTCTGATATAATGCATATAATACACAAAATGTACATCTACTCAAGTGTTAAAATTATGGGGATGATTATATTAACACAGAAATATGTTCATATAATATTAACAAAAAGCATGCTACAAACTATTATGAATCAGTTAAAAATATCTAGAAGGATATATAATTTGTAAAAAGTGAACTACAGATTTTGTTCTGATTTCACCAGTTTTTTCACTTATGTCTTCTTTATTTTCCAGGCTACAAGCCAGGATACTACACTTAATTGACATGTCTTCTTAGACGCCTCTGATTTGTGACAGTTTTTCATTCTTTCCTGCTTTTCATGACCTTGACGCCTTTGAAGAGAAGTGGTGAGATGTTTTTTAGATTTTCTCTCAATTGGTGATTTGTCTGATGTTTTTATCATCATTAGGCAGGTGTGATGGGTTTCACAGAACAACACTACAGAGGTTTAGTGCCATTCTCATCTTATTGTATCAGGAGGTATATGATAGCAACAACACTCATTGCTGGTGATCTTAACCATAATTACTTGGTTAAGGCAATGTTTTCCAGGTTTCTCAAGCAGCCTGACGACAAAGCCTATCTTCTTAGCTATTTATCTGAGACATGAATCTTCTAATTTCTCACCTTAGGAATTCTCCAGTTAGTCGTTTAGTAGAAACTGAGTAATGAAGAATTTTCTTCCCAGACAAATCATTCTGATGACAGGAGAGAGATGGGCTTACTCTTTGTCCTGTCTTGGTTTACTGCAGACATGGTCACTTGATTCATTCCTGACTCCAGTCAACTCCTCCTGTGCCCAGTAATCCATTTTGGTTCATTCTCTGAAAAAAAGAATATGATCAAAATCTAATTCTCACAACATCATTTGGATGTCTAAAAAATACTGAGTTAAAGAGATAGTAGAATTTGATTATATAAAAAAAATTTGTACACCCAAAAAGTGTTAATTTCCTTAATAGAGAACTGCTCTAAATATTTAACAAAAAGTGGGCAAATGGTATGTTCAGAAAATGTATAGCAAAGAAAATATAAATAATGTCAAATATTTAAAATGATGCCAGTCTTCTCTTAATACGATAAATATAAATCAAAATTATGATGTGATCACATTTAAAAATTATTGGGGTAGCAAAGACCGGAATGCTTGATTACAAACTATGTTAGCAATGGTTTGGGAAAACAAATATTTCTCATTGTTTCTGGGAAAGTAAATTGGTAAAATCAGTACTGAGAGCAATTGTACATTGTCTCTCATAAATAGAAATACAATTTTTGGACCCTTCAAGTCCACTTCTACATTAGAACCTTAATGCATATAATAAACATTATAGATATGCCAGCATATGCATAAAGTAATTTATGTATAAGAATACTTTTTGTGGCAAGAGATTAGTTAAATAAATAGTTCCAACAGCACGCAATGAAAAGCTAAGCAGCTTTATGTATACCAGTAAGAAAACATCTCCAGGATATATCATAAAGTTAAAACTTAAAACAAAACCAAAAAGGATAGATTGGCGTGTAAGATAGTTTACTGTTTGAATTGGAAGTTAAGACTACCATCTGGCCGATTTGGGCTCCTCATGCCTCTGAATCAACAGGAAAAGAAGAGTTACTGTGCTAGGTAGGTTGATTGATCTGAATACCAAGAGGAAATTTGACTACTGCTCCACAACATTGGTAAGGATGAGTAGATCTGGAATACAGAAGATACCTTAACGTGTCTCTTAGTATTACCATGCTCTGTGATTAAGGTCAATGGAAAACTACAGCAATGCAATCCAGTAATGACTATGAATGACCAAGGTCCTTCAGAAATGAAGGTCTGGATCACTCTACGATATAAAGAAGCCTGACCAACAGAGGTGCTTGCTGAAGACAAAAGGAATACAGAATGGGTGATGGAAGAAGGGAATTATAAATACCAGTTACAACCACATGATCATTTACAGAAATGAGGATTGTAATTCCCACGAGTATTTACTCTTTATTTTGTTATGAATGTATCAGTATATATATGCATATATATGTACATATATATTTATAGAGATATACTCCTTTCTTTTATTTCCTTATGATGTTACATTATTGACTCTCCTTGGTCTCCAGCTTTCTGATCGCATATCTTGGGATTTGTCCTAACGAAGCAAACAAATTCCTTATAACAAATCTGTTTCTAATATGTATATCCTATTGGTCTATATGTTGATTTGTATATATAACAACACACACACACCCCACATCCTCTATTAGCTCTGTTTTGCTGGAGAACCCTAATACACTTTGGAAAAGTACCAAAGTAACAGAGGTAACACCTGCCTCTCAGTGGTTCAGCCTACTCTGTAAAAAATAAGGGAATTAAACTAGAACAACTACATGTTTCCTTTCAGCTGTAGCCTTCTGTGTAATACAGTTATTTCCCTAAAGAAGGTCTCTCAATTTCTCTCCTGATCTTAGGTTCTATTTTTCACTCTGCTTACTTGTTATTTTCCCTAAAGTAACAGTATGCTCAGTATGTCCCAAATTGACCATGCCTGTTAAGAAAGCCATTTCCTCTCTTCTGTTATTTTCTAAGGCACCAGGTTTTCGTTTTTTAGGAATGGCCAGATTTGATTGTCTCTTCTCTCTGGGCAAGGTAGTACTTTGATTATTTGTGATGGCAATGAAGCAAATATTGTATAAGACTAAAGAAAGAAGCATATCACAGATTTTTGCATTCTCTCAGTTCTTTATGAAGTACAATACCAAGTAACACAGAACTGCCACAGACCCAGAATTCTTCAGTTATCTGAACAGTTCTGGGTTCTGGAGCTGACATCCACATCTAGGCAACGTGCATTTATAACCATAGGGTTGCTGCAGCGTTCCAGGCAGGTCTTTGTGGAGACTACTCATCTGCATCTCCGCTAAGAAGAAGAAAACCTTTCCAGCCCTTTTAATCGTTTTATTAAAAAAAAAAAAAAAAGTGAACACATATTGGTACCAAATAGCAATTTTACCTTATCTTGGTGTATTTGGCTTATGAATAGTTGATAAGACTTTATCTTACTGTTGATTATTTGTGTTTCCCATGAGAAGAAAAAGATTGTTTCATGATGCTTTCAGAGGGCTCATTCCTTTGTGAAGGATTTCCAGAGATTCCTCTATAACATGTTTCTAGTCTTCAGATTTGTCTCTTGTTCAACCATCTTACTAATTCTGATGCCAAATCCATCATAAAAATGATGTACCTTTGGAAATGAATCCATCCTATGGATTCTCTGCATCCCCACTGCTGCCTTTATATGCAGGACCCTCAGCACATTCTACCATGATTCTGCAACAAATGCTCAGAACATCCTCTAGTTCTGATTTTCCCACTGCAAATCAATGCTTCACACTCATTATTCCAATGAATTTCCTCTCAGTCTTGCATTTTTTTTTTTTCTGTCACACCTTTGGTGAGAAATCCTACAGTGATTCCAATGAGAGCTCAACGTCATTCAACCTTCAAGGAATGTTTGTAATCAATTCCACTTTCCATACCTGTCAATATCTCATGACTCCACCCTCATCAACCACCAAGCCTCACTAATTATACTCCCCAAATATATCTTTTCTTAACACAATTTACTCCATGCAGAAAAGACATTATTTAGATAGATATATTCATAGAGAGGTAAATATATAAATAAAAATACCTAGCTTTATAAATATGCATATTTAATTTCATAAATTAAAACTATTTGCATTCAGATGGACAATGGTTTGAAATCTGTTTATGCCTCCAACTAAGCTGAACAAGCATGGACACGTTATTTAATGTTTCTGAGCCTCAAATATTTAGTCCTGCTGAATTATTTTGAAGATTAAATGATATAAATTACTTAAGTTGTCTGTTGTCTGGCGTATAGTACTTCGTAAATTAATGCATGTTTCTTGATTTTAGATTCAATTTATTTTCTCTATTTCCAAGCTGCAGTGGTCTGGATCCAATCAGGAGATAGAAACTAGACAGTGGTCTGAATTCAATCAGGAGATAGAAACTAGATAGGAAGTTAATATAAAGAATTATTAACTATGATAAAAGAGAAACTATATAAGGAAACTATATAGTAGCCTAGGGCTGAGGAAGAGTGCCCAAGGGAGGACAAACTTGGAAGAGGTATGTTTCAGACCTTGATGGGGAAGGTATAGTTTAGCCCAATGGATAGCAAAGGTGTTTATTGGTTAGGCCAGGCCTGAGGAGGTCTAGAGTTCCTGGGCAAGCACGGTAGGTTAGGTAGGTTAGCACGTGGTGGCATGGTTGTGCAGTGAGAGTCTGGTGCCAGCCATGGTAGAAGGCCTGTAGCACATGCAGCCTGGCATGAGAGTGGGGATTTGAAACACTACTTGGTGTGTGATCCTCCAGGTCAGAAGCAGATGTTAGAAGTCCACTCAGAGAGTCCAGGTGCTGATGTGGCAGGAGGCCATCAGAGCACACCTGAGGTGTGGAGGGTTCTGGTTTCCATGTCTAGAGGACTGAAGAAAAGTTATTGATAGGTCTAGGATGCAATGAGGTCTCAATGGAATCATGTTCTAGGCTGGTGGCTGGGGCACATTCCACTGGATGTCTGCACACCCATGCAGCTAATCTCTTCCTCCCGCAATGTCTCTCCAGCGCCCTCTACTGAGCAAGCTTAATATTGTGCTCATTAAAGTGAAAAGTGTTTGTTTGTTTGTTTTGTTTTGTTTTTTTTCTTTTGACATGGAATCTCGGAATCTCACACTGTCCCCAGGCTGGAGTGCAGTGGTGCGATCTTGGCTCACTGCAAGCTCCGCCTCCTGGGTTCCCGTCATTCTCCTGCCTCAGCCTCCTGAGTAGCTGGGACTACAGGTGCCGGCCAACACGCCCAGCTAATTTTTTGTATTTTTAGTAGAGATGGGGTCTCAATGTGTTAGCCAGGATGGTCTCGATTTCCTGACCTCGTGATCGGCCCACCTCGGACTACCAAAGTGCTGGGATTGCAGGTGTGAGCCACCGCGCCTGGCTAAAGTGAAAAGTTTTAAAGGAATCCTTGATTTAGTACAGAGCATACAGTGAGTGAAGGGTGAATTCAGAAATAAGCAGCAATAAATTGATAATGGCACACAGTCTATAATACCAATTAGCTCTGTTTGATTAAGATACATTTTTTTCCTGTTGTATTTCATCTGAAGAAGTGATAACCTTCTTTTATAGGGAATGGGGTTCCCAACTGATTAACCAGGAATAAGCAATTTTTGCTTCACTTTGTAATAACTGAGTCATGTGATAATGGCTGAGTCAGTATTTGAATACAGATCCAAGTCTTATTCATGGGAACATACTTTAAATGTATTTAGC